TACGCTAGTTTGTGGTCATCAGTGCACTGCGTTGTGTACAAGGGAATGTCCTCCCTGCGCTCAGAAGTGTCAGAATCAATGCGTGCACAGTAAGTGTCCCAACCGATGTGGAGATCCGTGTACACCCTGTCAGGAGCCATGCCCGTGGCGTTGTCCTCATTACAGGTGCAGAAAGAAATGTAGTGAGGCATGTGATCGACCGCCGTGTAACAGACCTTGTCCTGCTAGGCTCAGGTGTGGTCATCCATGTATCGGTCTGTGCGGAGAACCATGTCCTGACAAATGTCGTGTGTGTCACAGAGATGAGGTGACAGAGATATTTTTTGGCTCGGAAGACGAGCCAGATGCTCGGTTTGTTCAGCTTGAGGATTGTAGTCACGTGTTTGACGTTGACGGTCTTGACCAGTGGATGCAAGTTACAAACGAAGGTCAGAAGTCCATTCAGTTGAAGGTGTGTCCAAGATGTAAGACACCCATCCGACGGAATCTCCGCTATGGCAAGATCATCAATGAAACACTGGCAGATATTGAAAAGGTCAAGGAACGTATTTTTGGAAACAAACAGGAAATTGAACAGAAGAAGATCAAAATCCGGGTCATGCTTTATTCAGTCAAGGCGGAGGTTGACACGCTCAAAGATCGTGTCAAGCATTCGAAGCTGGGTCTGGCAGAATTGATTGCTATTGAAAATCAGCTTTTACTCCTTGAGGGGATAAGCAAACTGAAGAGAAAGGCCGAGGAGGCTCGTAATGCTCCTAAATCTATCACAGAGTTGAGGATGCAGAAAAGGAACCTGGTAGAGCTGGAGCAGTGGTTGCTTAAGCCTCGCATTTACGTTAGCCAGCAGGAACTGGACGACTGCAGCCGTGAAGTACAGCGCCTGTCCATGTGCTTTAGTTTCTTTCTTATCAAGGAAAGACTCCAGTCCTCTGCTAGTACATGTAGCACAGCAAGCTTAACGGTTGTTGAAAAATTGCTCCTCAGTGGACAACCCCTTGATGACAGCAGTGTAAACACTGCCAAGACGCTTCTGGAGAAACTCAGAAAACAGTGCACTGGGCTTGGCATCTCAGAAAGTGAGCGAATAATGATTGTGAAAGCTATGGGGATGTCACAGGGTCACTGGTACAAGTGTCCAAATGGTCATTGTTACGCCATCGGAGACTGTGGTGGGGCCAATCAGGAGAGCAGGTGTCCAGAATGCAAGGCGAAGATCGGAGGAATGAGTCATCGTCTGGCTGAGGGTAATGCCGTTGCCACAGAAATGGACGGGGCTAGGTACGGAGCATTTTCTGATCAGGCTAATATGGACAACTACGACCCAGTTCAACTTCAAAATCTCTTTGGCAGATGAAGGTAATTGAAATATGTTTTATGGAATTTGTGAAATGTTATAAAACTTTTCCTGAGCTTGCAAAATCATTCAAAAAGCAGAAAGAATGGATTTTTTGATCAGATAAATGTGGGACATTTTAAAAGATTACTAAACTCTTATGCAACTTAGGAAGTATGAGAAAGGAAGTTTCCAAAATGCATGTTTGTAACGATTTTAGAGTTGACAGTTTGATCCCAGAAGAATACTTGTTAAGGCAAAACACATTTTCCGGTTGTTTTCATGACTCTTTGGAACTATACATACATATTAACCGACCGATCTTCTTTTTGTTTCCTCAATGACAGGTGGCAACTTGATGCTCTACAGAAAGATTGGTAAAAATTGAGACGCCCAAGAGACAAATGTATTTAGTTATTGAAAAGTTGAAACAGTTATTTTCTGTATGACATTTCAGTATCAGTTTACTTCAGTATTGAAGTTTCATGGCATGCATGTCGAAATCTGTAGCCTGTTGAAGGGTCACTTAAAACTGATGGTTTTTGAGTGGCTTTGGCTGACGTTTAATTGAAGATTTACCAATGTTACAAGCATTATAGGCTCTCTATCAGCCTTTTTATTATCAGATGTCTAATTAACATCCAAAGAATTAAAACATTGTTATCCTACCGTTAATATATTCTCTAATCGTGAAATAAGTTATTGTCTTCCAATCAATTAAAGTGACATTTTGTCACCGGGGAAAGAATTTGGGTGTTATTTGAGCTATGTGTGATACCTACGTTGATGTAGCTTTGACGTTAGGGTGGTAAAAGATGATTTAATGAGGGAATTTTATTATCATAAAACTTAGAAACGGCATTTAAGAAAACTCTCTTACAATTAGCCCTTAGCAGCTAGGGCATATTTAAAAAATGTGAATCTGAATCATCGTTTGCAAAATCCACAAATTTTTGCTACCGAAACTGGCAAAGGCACTGCCATAGCTTAGCATCAAAACAGCTTCAAAATTGAAGCTACACTTCAATGAGGAAATTTACAGAATGTTAGCATTTTTGTTTTGCTTGGGAGCATTTCGACATAAAACATAGGAAGGACGATTTTTTTTAGCGTTTCGATCAAAAAAGAGCCATTATGTCGCCTGTAGTGCTTTAGCAAAAACACTGTTTTGTAAAATTGATGGATGAAGAACCACTTTTATTTTGTTCTCTCGATTCGGCGACTCCGGTCGTCAAAAGAATTAGTTTTTGCTCTATTATCTTGGTTGCCCTGAACCATGTTTTACCCTTCAGTTTCTCTGACAACCCGAACTCATTAATGAATTATTAACAATTTCACGTCACACTTTTGTGAAGAATCGACTGGAAATTTATTTAAAATTACGAGCTATTTTACAACAAAGCAAAACACTCTGTGGGCATAAGGGGAGTCAGCGTGGCATACTTACACACACTTTTTGCAGCACGTTGGTTTGATTTTCGATGTCCGGTAGTAGAATTACCGGTAATCGTGAGGGATTTTCTTTCACATTTAAAATCGCCTCCAGTTTTGAAGAATTCTTTCTGTTGACGAAACATATTTCAATTTGTCTGTGGGTTTTCACCATAAAGGGAGGAATTTTTAAAACCAAAGGACATTTTAAGGGCGAAATATTTCTGCATATTTGTAGTAGCTCTTAAAGATTAGAAAAAATAGTGGTTTGAAATAAATTTGTTTGAGGAAATGTTTTTGTGCTATTAGCAAAGTAACATTTTGAATGATAGCCCGAATACATTGCATTTTAGTAATGTCAGTCAAAATAATGCAATAGAATATTGAATTGGTAATGAGGAATTCCATATCTAGCACGTGTGTTTTCCTGGTAATTTAAACTCGTATTTTACAATTTATTGCTTCTGTAGTTGTTGGTAATTAAGTTGTTATTGCACATGATAACTGCAAAGATATATGTAAAGTTACTCTAAAACCTTTTCATATGACGCAGTAGTTCTGTGGCTGTATGATATAACCTACAACCAGTTACTTTTGGAGTGTTGGCAATTTTTTTGTTTGTGTATATGCGAAAACCTTTCACAATGTCATCTCCCCAAATTTGAAGGTAATGAAAAAATAGTCGTTGAAATTTTTTAGATACTCTGCCGGTTTCATGTATTTTTTCGTTAATTAATCGTGTCATTCTTGAAATATTTCAAACAACCTTGATTGTTTTATTGTAAAGAGTTGCAATCTTCGATTGATTTCTTTGTGCAAATTCAGTGAAATATTGGAACTTTTAAAGTCTGATCGTGACAGAGAAACAACTGTTATAGACATCCCAGAATTAGCAATTACACAGTTTTGACAACAATACTGGGTCTTTATTGATATTATGCAATATAAAAACAAGAAGTTACATCATGCAGGGTTATCCCGCAGGTCATAGTATACTCAGATTTCTGTTAAGCTCGGTTAAGCTGAATCTTTTTTTAGTTGAAGATTTGTAAAAAACTCTTGTTTTTTCAAGGCAAGTCCCGAGTCATATTTTTCAAGCGGATGGGATGTCATAATTGACATGGTGCTTTGAAATTTTGTGCGTGTGACATACTTTGTTTAGACAGCGTGGTGTGACTGTTGGAAAAACAGATCTGACTTGTCTAATTTTGTCCTCCCTAAAAATATAATTACAATATTTTTAAATGGTATCCTTATGTGATGAAAACACACTTGTTTGCTTTTGCAGATAAAAATAACAGCCAAGTTTTTCTCATACTTCCTAAAAATTGTAATATTTATAAGTCAAAGTTGTTAAAATAACGGAACTGTCATGTCAGTAAAAACAAGTCTTAAGTAATCAAGTTTCCAAGTCAAGTCTGAAGTCAAAAGAATTGTGACTGACGAGTCTGACTCAACATCGAGTCCAAATCAGCCGTTCAGGTTTAGCAACTCTGTATATTTTGTATTTTCAATTTTGTTTTTAATGAATTGACATTTGCTACTTTTAGTTAAAGGTCTTTGTATTTTGCACGCTGGGTGTAGTTCAGTGGGTACATTCTGTTATTTACTCTGATGTGATTGCGTGCAAACGACGAAATATCATATGCTTGTATTGTTTTATTCCAAGCCCAATATTAAATTTGTCAATGTTTTATGTATTAGGCTGTAGCTATTGTATTGAACATGAAAATAAATAGAAGCTTCTTCAAATGACATTAATCTAATTAATTAAAATCATTCAAAAAATAAATCACTCAGTTTCAATTAAATGTCCCCTTTGGAATTTAGTTTTGCTATGCTAAACATTTATGTGTACGATAAGCCTGTCCCGTAACCCTTGACACTGGAGCATGAGGGCGTGTTTTTTTTTTAATGGCATGCCCAAGTTAAGCAGTGACAACACCCCCTGTCTTACCCCTTGTTTGACATGTGACGTGCGCGTGTGAAACTATTGAGGAAGAGGAATCTGTCGACTGTTTGATTTTTGTGGATGATTGTACAGGTATAGTGTGTCTTATCGCAGGAAATCCATGAATGGCATTTGTAATCTATTTTTTTTGGTTGGAATGTACAGGTTTTAAAACGCACCTTCTTGTCCAATTCAGCACTTTTCAATTCAATTTTTGCTTTTGCCATTTCAAAGAGTGTTTGGAGTGTTTTATGTTTATGCTAATAATAGGTAACTTGCAAAATCTTTCCCAGATGGAATTGGGTGCTAAAGTTTTATCAGCACCACAGACCTGTCGGGATTGTAAATTTTTTTATGAATTGTCTCAATTTTGGTGTTTTTCTTGTTTCAGTTCATGACCGTAAGCCATTCAACCACGTTTCTCACAAGCATTTTCAGTGAATAAATTGTCCCTTACAATTTTAGCCAAGATCCAGTGGGTGTCTTCCTGGAATAGCAGCACAGCAACAGCGCCCTCAGTTATTAGGAAAAGCATGAAAGGAGCACTTTTCGTCGCATGTCATCCAAATGCGACAGTCAAAATAGTTTGCAAATATTTTTAGGGGTTTATAAAATTGCATAAAAGAAAAATATCGTTATAAAAAATATGAATAGACCCTTTACAAACTACAGACAGGGTTAAAGGTTGAGAATGCATATGAATGAACTACCGGTAAAATAGACATTGAAAAAACGGCACTGACATCATGTGACTCACATTCATCCAGTGCATATTTCTCATCGGATAATTTCCCCACAAGCACGCAAGTACGTGTCTTTCTCACAATTCACAGGCTGTTGCACATTTGTTCTTTTCAAGACCCAAATTCAGCAATTGTTTACTTCTCGACGAATTCTACACCTGGCACACACGAGCTTCCTTGTCGAGTTTAAATTTGTCAATCAAAACTCTTTCTTATCATGGTCTGTGTATGATGTGCAGGGGAACAGTACAGAGGATCGTTCGTCACCGAGGGAGAGAGAAGTAGGTAAGTGGCGTCCAATTATTTATCTGTTTGATTGCAGAGGGCGTTGCTACTGCACAATGAAGTGGCCGGCCATTATGTATGAGCGGGATTTACTCTGTCTAATGATTTGCTTTCTTTACGTTATAGGTCTAGTCTTTATCATCATGTAACGTGATAATGTCCCCCTCTTTTACACTAATTTCATTAAATATGGGTATGACCAGTTCCTCAAAATAGTTTATTTCAATGCAGGTTGCAGTGAGAATTTCTAATAACCATGATGCCAATGGATTCAATATCGCAAAGGTACATTTTTTTCAGCGTAATGCCAAGTTTCAATACATGTACTTAGACTCAGACTCACATTAGAGGTGTGTTATACTGCTCGCGTGTGGCGGAAATCTTAACGAACATTCACGGCCTGGCTGTGAGATTTAAAACTTAAAAGAAGACACCCATGGTCCGTTATTGTTAGAAAACAACCCGAGGCAAAGGAATGACATTTATGTTCAAATGAAAATATACACGTAATTGTTATCATTTGGTACTGTGGAAGCCTTGGCACCATGCACTCTCCAACTTGGAAATTATTTTTCACATGGCCTTGGAAGTTACGGTTATTTTACCATGTGTTGAGATTCCCAGAACGCAAAGAGAACACAAGCAAAAATACAGGCTCATAAAATAACCTATCCAGCACGTCTTAAATCTGAACCACAAACCAGAAAAGGGCCATGAGTTATTGTTTTATAAACTCCACTTACTCCCCTCTGATATAAATAATGCATCTATTCACAACAAACCATACTCTAGTCTGTGGACGTAGACCTCAAAGTTGGCTTTAGAAATACTAGTCAAATGAATCTTAACAATCAATCTTCAACAGGGACATAATACTGGATGAAAACTGTATACCAGGCAAGATATGGGACGGAGGGGTACCCCCTT